CGGGCTCTCCCAACTCAAAAATCTAGAATTTGTTCTTGATTCTTTCCTTTCTCTCTCACTGGACAGCCACTGCCACAATCAGTCCTGCTGGGGCTGCTATCAAATGAATACCTCTGGACCATCCCCTTCCCTATTTTCACCCTCCCCCTTCCCCGTGTTCCTCTCCTCCCTTTCCCTCCCTCCCTGTCCCTTATCTACTCGCTCCCCTCCTTTCCCTTCTCTTCACCTTCCCTCCTCTATTACTCCCTCCTCTCCCTATCTGCTCCTGTCCCTCCCCTTCCCACCCTACCTCACACTGCCATTACTCCATCCTCACTAGATCTCCTCTCTCAGGGATGATCCCAATGTCCTTCTCCTACCTGGGGGGCTCCCAGCTTCCTTCTTCAGCCCAGAGCCCATTGTGTGCCCACAGCCAGAGGCCTCCCATGGAATGTAAGTCCTTCACTCACTCCCTGTTGGATCCTGCGCCGGTGGATTGCTTGCTATTTAGAGCAAAACACAAAGCTCTTCCTGTGGAACTGAGCTTCGACTGTTGGGGGACATAAGAGGCAGCCACTGGCCCAACCAGCCAAGGCCTATAGCTCGCAGAAGAGAAATTCTCGTTAGCAGAATTTTCAGTCATTGGAGCTGAGCTGCGGGATGTTTCAGTGTGAAGACCTAGCACAAAATGTACCGGTGGGGGACTGGTCCAAGTCTTCACTCCCCTACCACACTCCCCACCTCTGTACTGTGTGCTCCTGTCACTCTAGCTTCCTTCTGCATGGAATGCCTCCTTTCTGTTTTCTGTGGTCACACCTCTGCACTGAGCCCTACGAGATCCACCAACTTCAGAAGCTGCCCCTGACACCTTGAGCAGTAGGCAGGTGTGTCCTATGCTGTCCATGCCCTTCCTTTGTACCTATAAGCTGGTGACTCTGTTCTGTAGATAGTTGGGTCCCTGTCTCATCTTCCCAGCCAGACTGTGAGGTACTCATGGTGGAATCTATGGCTGATCCATCTCAGGGAGTCCCATGGAGCTTGACCTAATGCCTGGCATGTGGGAATCCCAGAGAGGAAACAGCATGTGCAAAGGCTGGGGATCTGATAGCACCTGTGGCAGTATAGAAGATTCCATGCACGTAAAGGGCAACAAAATAGAGCAGTGTTAGATAAAATAAATATCCATGAGTACATACTGATAGAAATAAATGATTAAATAAGTTAATGAATGAGGGAAAAGAGATAAATTTCCCATGCAGGATTTCAAATAAATTATGTTATATATTCCATCCCAAAGGAGGGCGAGAACAACTCCCCACTCCTTAAGTGTGGGCTGCACACAGTGACTTATTCTCCAAAGAAGACAGTATGGAAAAGGGGACAAAGAGAAGCTCTGCAGTGGAGAACCCTGACGAGCACTACCTCTGCCAGATCTTTAGTGATGTCAATCATCCCCCTTTTTATATTGATAATTTTCTCTTTTTTCCCAATCAATCCAGTTGGACATTTGTCATTCTTATTGATTTTCCCAAAGAACAAGTTCTTGGATTTATTGATTTTTTTTCCTATTTTTATTTCATTGATTCCCATTTTGATCTTTATTATTCCTTTTCTGCTGATTACTTTAGATTTAATTTGCTCTTCCTCTTTGATATTCTTTTATTTATATATTTATTTTTTGAGACAGAGTCTTGCTCTGTTGCCCAGGCTGGAGTGCCGTGGCACAATCTCTGCTCACTGCAACCTCCACCTCCTGGGTTCAAGCAATTCTCCTGCCTCAGCCTAAGTATACTCAGCCTAAGTATACCCAGCCCAAGTATCTTGGATTATAGGCGCCAGTCACCACACCTAGCTAATTTTTGTATTTTTTGTAGAGACGGTGTTTCACCATGTTGGGCAGGCTGGTCTCAAACTCCCAACCTCAGGTGATCTGCCCACCTCGACCTTCCCCAAGTGCTGGGATTACAGGCGTAAGCCACTGCACCCAGACTGTGTTCTTAAATTAGGAACTGAGGTTGCTGATCTGAGACCCTTCTTCTTTTCTAATACAGCAATTAATATCACACATTTCCCTGCAGGTACTGCTTCAGTGACAACCCACAAATTCTATGTTATTTTCTATTTCCAATAACTTTAAATGACTTTCTAATATTCCTTTAGATTTCTTCTTTGACCTATGAGTTATTTAGAAGTGAGTTAATTTTCAAATATTTGGGGATTTTTAAAGGATCTTTCTGTTACTGGTTTTTAATTTTATTCCATTGTGGCCAGAGAACATACTTTGTAGTTGAATACTTTTTAATTTATTGAGGCTTTTTAATGGGCTATAATGTGGTCTATCTCCATAAATGTTCCATGCACAGTTGAGAAAAATGTGCATTTTGCTTTTATCAGGTGGAGTATTCTATAAATATAAATCAGGTCAAGTTGGTTGATAGTGTTCAAGTCCACTACATTCTTGCTGATTTTCTGCCTATTTATTCTATGAACTGTTGAGAGTGGGATTAAAATCTCTGATGGTTGTGTCTATCTCTACTTATTGTTTTATTACTTTTCTTCATGCCTTTTGAAGCTTTGTTATTAGGTACAAAAACACTTAGGATGGTTATGTCTTCTTCATTAACTAACCAAATTATTAGTAAGAAATAATCTCTTTAATCCCTGGTAATAGTCTTTGCTCTGAAGTCTATTTTGGCCTTCGTATAGCCACCTCAGCTTTCTTTTGACTAGTCTTGGCATGGTATATCTTTTTCCATCCTTTTACTTCTAACCTATTTGCATCTTCATATTTAAAGTACATTTCTTGGCCAGGCATGGCGGCTCACACCTATAATCCCAGCACTTTGGGAGATCGAGGCAGGTGAATCGCCTGAGGTCAGGAGTTTGAGACCAGCCTGGCCAACATTGTGAAACCCCGTCTCTACTAAAAATACAAAAATTAGCTCGGTGTGGTGGTGGGGACCTGTAATCCTAGCTATTCAGGAGGCTGAGGCAGGAGAATCGTTTGAACCCGGGAGGTGGAGGTTGCAATGAGCTGAGATTGTGCCATTGCACTCCATTGCACTCTAGCCTGGGCAACAAGAACGAAACTCTGTTGAAAGAAAGAAGGAAGGAAGCAGGGAAGGAAGGAAGGAAGGAAGGAAGGAAGGAAGGAAGGAAGGAAGGAAGGAAGGAAGGAAGAAAGGAAGCAAGCAGGGAAGGAAGGAAGGAAGGAAGGAAGGAGGGAGGGAGGGAGGGAGGGAGGGAGGGAAGGGAGGAAGGAAGGGAAAGAGAAAATTTCTTGTAAGCAAAATATAACTGACTCTTTGTCAAAAAATCCAATCTGACAACCTGTCTTCTAAATCAGATAATTTAAATGTAACGTAATTCCTAATATGGTTGAGTCTCTTATTTTGCTATTATTTTCTACTCATCCCATCTGTCCTTTATTCTCTTTTACCTCTTTTTCTGTCTTCTTTTGGATTTACCCAGTATATTTTTATGATTCCATTTGATCTCTCTTGTTAGTTTAATAGCTGTAATCTTTTGGTTTGTTATCTTAGTGGTGGCTTTAGGGTTTACAGTGTACATCTTTAACTGATCACGGCCTACCTTCAAGCGACAGTAGATCACATCATGTACAGTTTGAGAATCTGAGAATAGTAAACTTCTCCCCTTTTAGTCTTTAAGCTCTTATTGTCATCCATTTTACTTTTACATATATTATAAACTGCATATTACTTTTTTTTTTTTTTTTTTTTTTTGAGACGGAGTCTCGCTCTGTCACCCAGGCTGGAGTGCAGTGGCCGAATCTCAGCTCACTGCAAGCTCCACCTCCCGGGTTCCCGTCATTCTCCTGCCTCAGCCTCCCGAGTAGCTGGGACTACAGGCGCCCGCCACCTCGCCCAGCTAGTTTTTGTATTTTTTAGTAGAGACGGGGTTTCACCGTGTTAGCCAGGATGGTCTCGATCTCCTGACCTTGTGATCCGCCCGCCTCAGCCTCCCAAAGTGCTGGGATTACAGGCTTGAGCCACCGCGCCCGGCCTACTTTTTTTTCTAAACAATTATCTTTTAGAGAAGTTTAAATAATAGTAAAGTATATATCCAGCTTGTTACTATTTCTGGTATAGATACACGATGCTACTATTTCCGGTGTAGATCATTTCTTTGTGTGGATCCAGATTTCCATCTGGTATTGTTACGGCATCCTTAGGGTGTTACCTCACCAACCAGAAACCTCTGTGGCCAGGGGCGCCTTCACTCGAGTTTTGCTCTGGACCGCTGGTCTCGTTCCACCCACCCGGCCTGGCAGGCTGTGCTCAGTTCCCACTACCAGCCTGGATTGCATGTCTGCCAAGGGTGAGCCAGGCCCGGAGAAGCAAGGGGTGTGTGAGCAAGCATAGGGTTCGGCCACTACACACATCCAAGCATGCCAGCTGAGGGAAGACAGGCGGTGGGCAGGCAGCTTCAGGCACTGGCACGGGTGCCAGCTCCATGCAAGGCTGCAGCTAGACCAGGCATACCATAGCTGACACCAGGGAACATGGTAGCACCCAGAACCTTGGAGATGCCAGGAACCCACAGAACCCTAAAGAGGGTGTCACATCCCTGGCTTGGGGGAGTTCCTAGGTCTGGACTCCCTGAAGAGCTGCAGCTCTTCTCTCCTCTCTTCTCCTTGCCTGCAATGTGACAAACAAGGGGCATGTTTCAGCGCTGTGTGCATTACAGTTATTTTAGCTCCGCCATTCAGCAGGTCTCCAGTTCTTGTCCTGCGTCCAGGAAGAATGATATATGCAGACAAGTGGAAGGTGAACAAGATGAAGAGGAGCTTTATTGAATGATAGAACAGCTCAGAGGAGACCCACAGTGGGTAGCTCCTCTCCATAGCCAGGGTGTCCTGATGAGTATTGTGCTCTCAGCAGAGAGGGCAGCTCCTTTCTGCAGGTGGTTCATCCTGTTGTCTCTTCAGCTCTCAGCAGAGACAGTAGCTCCTCCCTAAAGACTGGTGGCCCACCCCTCAGGCTTCAGCCCCTCCCCAGCTTGCAGGTGGGGCTTCACTGGGAACCTGCCCGCTTCCACCCAAGAGCCTGTTTTGCCTCCTGTCATTGTTCATGGCACCCAGATTATTCATGCCAAGCAATACCTGCAGGCCTGTGCCAGGCTGTCCTCAGCCCCACTTCAGCCTCCTTCCCGTGCTTGTCAGCCTCCAAAGTCTGAAGGGGACCAAGGGGCTGGCATGTCAGCACTGCTCCAAGCATGTACACATGCAGCTGGGATGTGACAGTGTGGAGAGAGACAGTGCCCCAGGTTGTGATCTGTGAGGGGAGCAGGTGCTAAAAGTGAGGAGAACCCAGACAGCGGGAGCAGGCACTTCCTAGCCTGCAGGGACAGGGGGCCTTCTTGGGCCCCCAAGAGTACAGAGATACCTGGGTCCACAGCTCCAGCTTGGGTGGCTGCAGCTGCACCTGGGAGGGCGGGGCTTCTGCCTATTCCTGGCACCCAAGAGCACAAGAGTGCCCTGGTCGCAGCCACAGCTTGGGTGGCTCCAGCAGCGCCCAGGAAGCTCCCACCCCACCAACTTTCTGGCTCCATAAAGCACGCAGCCCTGGCCACGTCTTTTGTCCTCATTTGCCCCTTAGTGGCAGCAGGCAAGGTGAGGACAGCTGGTGGCCTCAGCCAACTCCGCACAAACAAACTCAATGCTTCTGGGGCCGCCCCATGAATCCTGGCTGCACCATCGGCTCGCGGGCTCCTGAGACTCGGCAGAGTGAGGTTGAAGCCGCAGCGGAGGTTCCGGGCCTGCAGCGGGTCCTGCCCAGCCATGCAAGGGTCGGGGTGGTGCAGTCAGCTGCCTCAGGGATGTGGGGCACAGGGGACCCACCACCGCCACTGCTGCTCCCGCAGCCGCTCCTGCCACCACCACTTGTGCCTCCTCGCTGCAGCTGGCATAACAGTGGCTGCTCCAGATGGCCCACCGCTGCCATCAGTATCATTTTCCTTATGCCTGAAGGACATGCTTTAACTTTTCTTCTAGTGCAGGTCTGCAGGTAATAAAGTCGTTCAGCTTTTTCGAGTCTGAAAACTTCTTTATTTCTTCATCTGTTATTCTCTTTTTGATGACCGTTAAACCAATCCATTGAACTTTCCATTTCAGTTATGATACTTTTCATTTCTACTTGGTACTTTTCCCAATCTATTTGGTTATTTTCATACTCAAGTTATTTCAGCTCCTTTGTTTCTTTAAGTATAAAACACACTTTGTACTGTCTTTGGTAACTTGACTGTCTTAAGTTTTTGCAGGCCTGCTCCTTCTGTCCATTGCTTCTGCTAGCTCTTGCCGATTTTACATTTGTGATTTTTTATTTTGAACTTATATTCCTTGAAACTATCTCACAGTTCCTCCAAAGACAATCCATTTTGCAGCCGTCAGTCACCTAGAAGGCACCAAAAAGCTGATATTGCTTTAAATTTGAAGCTTGACACATTTTAGACCACCCAGCTTGTGTGAACAACCCAGTTAAAGGGTTGGTTTTATAGGTATATAAAACTCTCAGGGGAGATGTTTTCTCTCAGGATGCACAATGTTCCTCACTGTTCCTAGGGAAGCAGGGGCCAAGGGCAGCATACAGGGGAGGCGGAAAGGTTTATTCATAGTTCACCCTTACACTAAGTCTGTCCTTTTGGATCTCACTTTATGATGTCTCCTCTTAGCCCCTCCCACTTGGGCAGGCCCTCAGCTTTGTCTGCTGTTCTGCTGCCCCTTTCCCACCTCAGGCTGTGAAAAACAGCAAAGTTTAATTTGACATTTGGCAAATATCTTAAGGGTGAAAAGTGGCATCAGTGCCTTAGTTACTTCTTTGGGTTTCACTTCCATTTTAAAACTTTTTTGGCTTTTTGGAACTCTTATTTTGTAGCTCATTGACACGTTTTTAAAAGGTTCTTGAAATGTATTCCAGAAGCTTTAATTGTTTTCAGCTGGTCCTTATCAATCCTACTGTTGGAAATAAAATTCTTTCAACTTGTTCTTTAGCAATGTACAGGCTCCATATATCTCTCCCTGATCCTGAGGCAATAGGGTAAGAACACCACTTAGGAATCAGGCTGGCCTGAGATCAAGTCTCGGATCCACCAGCAGTGTGACATCAGTGCCTCAGTTTCTTTTTTTTTTTCGAGACAGAGTTTGCTCTGTCACCCAGGCTGGAGTGCAGTGGCGCAATCTCGGCTCACTGCAAGCTCCGTCTTCGGGTTCACGCCATTTTCCTGCCTCAGCCTCCTGAGTAGCTGGGACTACGAGCGCCTGCCACCATGCCCAGCTAATTTTTTGTATTTTTAGTAGAGACGGGGTTTCACTGCGTTAGCCACGATGTTCTCTTTCTCCTGACCTCGTGATCCGCCCGCCGCAGCCTCCCAAAGTGCTGGGATTACAGGCGAGATCCACCGCGCCTGGCCACCTCAGTTTCTTTATAGCGTTGGTGATATGGTTTGGTTCTGAGTCTCCAGCCAAATGTCATGTCTAACTGTAATTTCCAGTGTTGGAGGAAGAGCCTGGTGGAAAGTTATTGAATCATAGGGGTGGACATCTCCCTTGCTGTTCTTGTGATAGAGCTCTCATGAGATCTGGTTGTTTAAAACTGTGTAATAACTTCCCCTGCCCTCCTGCTGGCCATGTGAAGATATGCTTCCTTCCCCTTCACCTTCCACCATGATTGTAAGTTTCCTGAGGTCTCCTCAGCCATGCTTCCTGTACAGCTTGTGGAACCATGAGCCAATTAAACCTTTTTTTCTTTATAAATTACCCAGTCTCAAGTAGTTCTTTATAGCAATGTGTGAACAAACTAATACAGAAAATTGGTACCAGAGAAGTAGTGAATTGTTACAAAGATACCTGAAAATGTGGAAGTGACTTTGGAACTGGGTAATAGGCAGAGGTTGGAACAGTTTGGAAGGCTTATAAGAAGACAGGAAGATGACGGCTGGGCATGATAGCTTATGCCTGTAACCCCCAGCACTTTGGGAGGGTGATGCAGGTGGATCATTTGAGGTCAGGGGTTCAAAGCCAGTCAGCCAACATGGTGAAACTCTGTCTCTACTAAAAATACAAGAAAAAAACATTAGGCAGGCATCATGGTGCACGCCTGTAATCCCGGCTACTCAGGAAGCTGAGGTAGGAGGATAATTTGAATGCAGGAGGCAGAGGCTGCAGTGAGCCAAGATAGTGGCACTGCTCTCCAGCCTGGATAACAGAGTGAGACTCCATCTAAAGACAAAAACCAAAAACAGAAGACAAGAAGAAAAGTTTGGAACTTCCTAGAGACTTGTTGAATTGTTGTGACTGAGAAGCTCATACAGTGATATGGACAGTGAAATGCAGACTGAGGTGGTCTCAAATGGAGATGAGGAACTTATTGGGAACTGTAGCAAAGGTCACTCTTGCTGTGTCTTAGCAAGGAGACTGGTGGCATTGTGCTCCTACTCTAGGAATCTGTGAAATGAGTCTTTAGAACTATATTTAGTTAACCATCGGCTAATTTCCAGATAAACAGTTCTGCAGAGGTCATATAAGGTACAAATAGCAGTAGATCAAGGGGGAGGATGATCTTGGGGACTCCTGAAATACACTGTAAATAACCCAGATATCCCCCAATGAATAAATGAATATACAAAGTGTGGTATACATACATAGGTACAAACAATGGAACATTATTCAATCATAAACAGGAATGAAGTACTGATACAGGCTACACAATGAATGAACCTCAAAAAACCTTAGAATCCTGCTAAGTGAAAGAAGCCAGTCACAAAAGACCAGATATTGGATGACACATTTATATAAAATGTCCAGAATAGGCAAATCTAGAGACAGAAAGCAGATCAGTGGTTGTCAGGGGTTGAGGGAAGGAGGAAATGAGGAGTGATTAAGTGAATTAATGCATGTTAACACCTTAAACTTTGGGCAACTGCCCAATCGCACAGACAGTGCAGTCTCATTCATGGGTTACATGAAAAAACAAAGAGAAAAGCCAAGGCAGAAATACCAACATGTATGTTATTAAAAACATAAAACCTAAGTATACAGACAGACTACATTCCTTAATGAGCAGATTCAATATTATAAGGTTGCCAGTTCTCCTCCCACAATCTCTCAAAAGTTGCAAAGTAATGCAATGTAATGCAATTTTAATCCAAATGGCATGCTTATCTAGATAAGAAAAAATTGATTGTAAAATTTATATGAAATAATAAAGGTGTGAGAATTGCAAGGAAAATTTTCAAATGGAAGATTATTAAGGAAGAAAAGAGTGTGAAGACCCTGCTCTATATGGTAGAAGTCAAAGACAGCTACCATCAATTCTTTCCCTTCCTCAACACACATTGCTTCTCAAGAGGTGAGGAATAACTCCCTTCCCCTTGAATCTGGTTGCCTTGCAACTTGCTCGATCCACAGAATATGACATAAATTCCATTCTGGGAATTCTAGGATTGGGTTTTTTTTTTCTTTTTTCTTTTTTTTTTTTTTTTAAAGACAGAGTCTCGCTCTGTCACCAGGCTAGAGTGCAGTGGTGCAATTTCAGCTGACTGCAACCTCTGCCTCCCAGGTTCAAGAGATTCTCCTGTCTCAGCCTCCCGAGTAGTTGAGACTACAAGTGCATGCCACCACACCCAACTTATTTTTGTATTTATTTATTTTTTATTAGAGACGGGTTTCACTATGTTGGCCAGGATGGTCTCGATCTCATGACCTGGTGATCTGCCCACCTCGGCTTCCCAAAGTGCTGGGATCACAGGCATGAGTCATCGCACCCAGCCCGATTTTATTTTACTTTTTAAAGAAACTGAAGCTTCTACTTCAGTCTCTTGGAAGCCTTGCTCCTGGGAAGCTCTTCCTTGAACCTAGTTGCCATTCCATTCCACCAGGCCACATATGTCTTCTCCAGGCAACAGTCTACATGAATTGCCAGTCATGTAAGTGAGTTCAGATGACTGTGGCCCCAGCTAACATTTGACTGTAATACATGTGAAAGGCCCCATGCAGAACCACCTAGAACCATGGAGATCAACCACCCTGCAAAAGCATGAAGTTAAGCTTAGGGGTGGTTAATTACTCAAAAATAAGTAAACAGAGCACTCCACCAGGTATTAAACATTATTACAAATATTATGTAATTAAAACAATACAGAACAGACCAGGGTTGACTACAAGATCAATGGGACAGAATAAAGTTACACAACCAATGCCCCCTGGTGACCACAGGGATTTGTCACAGATCTCATCACTTAGAAACCCTACAGCGGTTTCCCTGGTCACCTTCCAGTCACCTCTACACCTTGGCTCCTTTTAGCACTCCTCCCTGGCTTATCACTATATGGAATTACTTTATCTCTTTGTACTGTCTGTCACTTGCCACCATAATGTGAATTTCTAGACCTCCATAGCATCCAAAGCCCTAGAACAGTTCTTAGAACACAGAAGGTGCTTGATAAATATTTTCTGAAAGAAAAAGAAGATACTTCAATACCTCAGTTTATTAATGAAGTGGGGCTACCATATGGCTGCCTGAACAAATACAGCTTGACATTCACTTTCTTGCTAATGACTGAAGTGTATTAACTTGTGTAATCACACAACTACCCGGTGGGGTAGGTGCCCTTATTTCTCCATTTAGCAGATGAGGAAACTGAAGCACAGAGGGGCCAAGTATCTTGACCAAGGTTACACAGCTTTTAAGTGCCAGAGCCAGGACTCAGATCCTCACAGGTCTGGCCCCAGAGCCCCCAATTTAACCTCCTAACCTCTCTGCTTTACTGGGCTAAACCTTCACCACCTGGAACTCTCCAGGTGCTCGTAAGCGAGTGCTACCCAACTTCCATCACGAACTCGGAAGACCTGTCATTTTCTGAAATTTTCACAACTTCTAAGACACTAGTTATTGGGGAAAACTTCAAATTATTTAAATAATGAGAGGCGAATAACATTGCTAAACTCATGAACACTCTGTATTTAAAAACTCCACTGGCGATCAGGGCACACAGAATCTCTACTACTGATGCCTGACGCTGACCATCCCCCAACCCGTCGGCCCACGGACCCCAGCCCTGACCCCACCTCCTCCCAGCATCTGACACAAGGATTCTCACCACACTCCCCAGAGACTCGCCTGCCCAGGGCCCCTCTCTAACCCCACATAGCTCAGGTCTCTGACCCAGAGACAACATTACCGACCTCTCCTACTATCTATTTCCAGATTAGAGTCCCTGATCCCAGAGGTATTGTCTACAATAACTAACTCTTACAACTATGTCCACTTCAGGAACCGCCCTGTGACGTCAGAACTTTGAGGCCGCCCGGCCAGGGCTGCACATGCTCAGTGAGGCCGGCGCCCGCCAGTAATAAACATGGCTCCCTAAAGCCGCTCGGGCTCAAGAGCAACATGGAGACCTGCACTTCATCGCTCCTCTCTGGGGGCGGCCATACTAAGGAGGCATCTCTTCCGTGCAGGCAGGCTGTCCTGGGGACCTCAGAGATTCTCTCCACCGGCAGCGGAAAATGGGCAACGGGTGGATTCGGGTCCAGATTCTGGCAGGAGGGAGTTTGGGATCCAGATCTGGAAAAAAGCATTAGACTGGAAGAGGACGCGATGGAGTCGGAGCCGCTGGCGGGGACAAAAATCTGGGGCTGGGGAAGGCGCCGCTGGGAGGCAAGGCGCTGACGGACTTTACTTGCGCACGCGTCGCAGCCGTCTCCGCGCACAGTGGTGGCCATCGCGGCTGGTGCCCCAGTGTCGGCGTGTGCCGGGGGCTCCACTGGGACCCGGGTCGCTCGCCCTGGGTCTCCCCTTCCTCAGCTGTACGGTTGGGACAAGAACAGTAACCCTCGCCAGTCAAGACAGGCCGGGGCTGTCGGGAGGGCCCACGCCTTAGAGCAGGCCCCTATCGTGTTCAGGGCCCTGAGATGGGGTCTGACTCAGTTCCTGCGGGGAAATTCACCAGTGACCCAGTGAGTGCCCTTCAGTTAAAGACCCCCAGGAGCACACTTGTGGAAAATATAATTACATTGCAGCAAGGAATGGGGTACTATGGGTCATCTCAGTGGAAGGAGTTAGAGAGAAACTATTAAACGAGTCGGGCTTTAATTGGTTGATTTCGATAGGGTCTCAGAAAGTGAAGATTTTAGATTGGATGCTGTCAGAAGTGGCATCAAGGCTTTGTTTTTTATCTGCATTTAGACAACATTATAAAGTGCCCTTGTTTTTGTTTGCACTTACCACGGTCTCCGATTAACCTTCTGAAGTTGACATTATTCTGTGAGATTGTTTATATCCAACAGGAAAACAAAATGGCCTGGCCATGAGCATCAGACCGGCGTGTAATAACATTAAGGCCTAACTGTGACCCAAATATTGACAGAATTGAAATTAAAAATAGTTCTACAGTAATAGAGTCTTCAATACTCCATTTAAAATAATGCATAGAAGCTGGACATGGTGGCTCATGCCTTTAATCTCAGCCACCTGGGAGGCAGCAGCAGGCGGATTGCTTAAAGCCAGGAGTTCGAGACTAGCCTGAGCCTTTTGGCCTGTTACGGCTTTTAACGTGCCTTCCTTACTCAGCTTAATCATTTCTCACTTTTGATTTTTAATAAGAGATATGTGGCTCTTACTTTCACTTGAACACATAGAGGCCTTTGTAGAGTTATTAATTGGCATAATTTCAATATTGCTGTGTCTCAGAAAACAGGGAGACCTGAGGAGAGGGGGAGATGGAGGAAGGGCAGATCGATAGAACCATTTGAACACACATATGTATCAATTAAGCTCATTATCTTTTGGGGAGCATGGTTTGTGATGCCCCAAAACAATGACAATAGTAATATCAATGATCACTGATCACAGATCACCATAACAGATATAATAATAACAAAACATTTCAAATATTGCAAGAATTACAAAAATGTAACACAGAGATACAAAATAAGCACATACTACCAGAAAAGTGGCACTGGTAGACTTACTTGATGCAGGGTTGTCACAAACCTTCAATTTGTAAAAAATGCAATATCTGAGAAGCATAGTAAAGTGAAGTGCAATAAAACAAGATAAGCTTATATATGTATACATGCACACACCAGTATACATCCACCTATCCACACACAAATCTTTGTACAAACAAATCCTGTATTTTCAAATCCAAGAATACATCATTTGCACCTTAAAAATATATGTCATCCTTGTAGTATCCTTTTCTGTCTTTGTTATCAGGGTAATGCTGGCCTCATAAAAAATGTTGGAAATGTTCCCTCCTCTTCAACTTTTGGAAGAGTTTGTTAATAAATGGGATTAATTCTTCTTTAAACATTTGCTAGAATTCTCCAGTAAGCTATCTGGTCTTGGATTTTCCTTTTTCAGGAGTTTTTTGACTACTGACTCATATTTTTACTCATTGTTTATCTGTTTTGATTTTCTGTTTCTTCATGTTTCAGTCTTAGTGGATGTATGTTTCTAGAAATTATATTCTAAGTTAAACAATTAGTTGACACATAGTTGTTTAGAGTAGACTGTTAATGTCCTTTGTATTTCTATGGTACCAATTTTAATATCTCCTTTTTTGTTCTAATTTTATTTATTTGAGATTTCTCTCTTTTTTCTTAGCTTAGTGAAAGGTTGGTCAATTTTTATTATCTTTTCGAAAAATCAACTTTTCATTTCATTGATCTTTTCTGTTGTTTTTCTGCTCTATTTCATTTATTTCTGCTATGGTCTTTGTTATTGCCTTCCTTCTTTTAATTTTGGGCTTGATTTTTTTTCTTTGACGTTTATTGTTTCTTTGAGATCTTTTTTCTTCATTTAGTACTTATCTGTATAAACTTCCCTCTTAGAGCGGCTTTTGCTTCATCTCATAAGTTCTAGAATGTTGTGCTTTCATTTTAGTTTGTCTCAAGATACTTTATTTCTTTTTTGATGTTTTCTTTGATCTGTTGGTTGTTCAGGAGTGTGTTGGTTGATTTCCACATATTTGCCACTTTTCTAAGTTTTCTCCTGTTTTTAATTTTCAGTTTCATGCCACTGTGGTCAAAAAGAATACTTGGTAAGATTTCAATCTTCTTAAACTTGCTAAGACTTGTTTTCTGGCCTAATATATGACATATGTTGGAGAATGTACTGTGTATGCTCGAGAAGAATGTGTATTTTGCTGTTTTGGAAAGGAATGTCCTGTATATCCGGTCCATTTGATCTATAGTGTAGTTCAAGTCAGCTGTTTCCTTATTGATTATCTGTCTGAATGATCAATCCATTGTTGACAGTGGGATATGGAAGTCCCCTACTGTTATTGTATTATTGTTGTCTAGTTCTCTCTTCAGATTTGTTAATATTTGCTTTATATAATTAGGTACTCCAATGTTGGGAGAATATGTATTTGCAGTAGTTATATCCTCTTGATGAACTGACCCTTGTATCATTCTATAATGACTTTGTCTCTTGTTACAGTTTTTGACTTAAAGTCTATTTTGTTTGTTGTAAGAATAACTACTCTTTCTTTTTTGTTGTTCCCTCTCTTTCCTTTCAGTCTATGTGTGTCTCTGAAGGTGAAGAGAGTCTCTTATAGGTGGCATATATTTGGTTCTTGTTTTACTCTCCGTTCAGCCACTCTGGGTCTTCTGTTTCACTAATTTGGTCCACTGATATTTGAAGTAACTATTGATAGGTGTTTTGTAGTTTCTTTGTTCTTTTATTTCTCTCTGGCTGTGCATGATTTGATTATTTTGATTATTTTCTGTAGTGGTATACTTTGATTCTTTGCTGTGTCTTTGTAGTAATTCTTTTTTAAACATGTGGTAAAATTCTCATTTGTGTATCTATTACATGTTTCGTCTTTGTGATTATCATGAGGCTTACATAAAACATCGTATGCTATCATGTGCCACATAAGGATGTTTTGGTCAATGATGGGCCACATATACAATGGTGGTCCCATAAGGTTATAACATTTTTGTTTTATCTGTTTAGATACATTTAGATACACAAATGCTTGTCATTGTATTACAGTTGCCTACAGCATTCAGTATAGTACAATGCCGTACAGATTTGTAGCCTGGAAGCAATAGGTTATACCATATAGCCTGGGTGTGTAGTAGGTAGTATTATCTAATTTTGTGTAAGTACACTCTATGATATTCACACCATGACAAAATTGCATAATGAGGCATTATTCAGAACATATCCAAATTAAGAAATGCATGATTGTAGTTACAATGGTCTATTTTAAGTTGATAACAACTTAACTTCAATCATACACAAAAACCCTACACTTTACTCCCCTCCACTTTTTATGTTTTTTGATGTCAGAGTTTATTTCTTTGTATATTTTGTAGTTATATTTATTTGTAATATTAACCTTTTAAAAGTTAAAGTGATTATACTGCATCATTGCAGTATTAGGAGTATTTTGAATTTGACTCTATAGTTACTTTGACCAGTGAATTTTATAACCGCTTATGGTTTCATGATACTAATTAGTCTTATTGCATTTCAGTTTGAAGAACTCCCTTTAGGATTTCTTATAAAGCAGATCTAGTGACAGTGGACTCCCTTAGATTATTTTGGGGGGCTTCTGAAAAAGTCTATAAATCCTAGCCAGAGCAATTAGGTAAGAAAAAGAAATAAAAGGCATCCAACTTGGAAAAGAAGTGAAAATGTCTCTGTTTGAAGATGACATGATCTTATATAGAGAAAATTCTAAAGGCTCCAATTAAAAACTGTTAAAATTAAGAAACAAAATTCAGCAAATTTGCAGAACACATAATTAACATTAAAAAAACCTGTTGCATTGCTATATACTAACAGTGAATTATCCCAGAAAGAAATTTAAAAAATAATCTCAGACCTGGCACAGTGGCTCATGCCTGTAATCCCAGCACTTTGGGAGGCTGATGCAGGAGGATCACTAGGTTAGGAGATCAAGGCCAACCTGGCTAACACGGTGAAACCCCGTCACTACTAAAAATACAAAAAAATTAGCCAGGCATGCTGGCAGGCGCCTGTAGTTCCAGCTACTCGGGAGGCTGAGGCAGGAGAATGGTGTGAACCCAGGAGGTGGAGCTTGCAGTGAGCCAAGATTGCGCCACTGCACTCCAGCCTGGGCAACAGAGCGAGACTCCATCTCAAAGAAAACAATCTCATTAACAGTAGCATCAAAAAATTAACTACTTAGGAATACATTTAAATAAGAAAGTAAAATTTCTATATACCAAAAACTATAAAACACTGATAAAAGAATTTGAAGAAGACACATATCTCTATTACTCACTGTGATCTATAGATATAATGCAACCCCCATCAAAATTTCAATGGCATTTTTCAAAGAAATGCAAAAAAGCAATTCTAAACTTTGTATGCAACAGACCCCAGTCAAAACATCCTTGAGCAAAAAATCAAAAGTGGAAGCATCACATTACCTTATTCCAAACTAAATTATAAAGCTATAGTAATCAAAATAGTATGGTACTGGCATAAAAACAGACATGTAGACCAAGGGAACAGAATAGAGAGCACAGAAATAAATCCATGCATTTGGATTTATTTCTGTGCTATGGCCTTCTTCTCTGAGCTCCAGTAGGCAGTACCCCAGTGGGGACTCTGTGTGGGGGCTTCAACCCCACATTTCCCTTCTGCACTGTCCTAGCAGAGGTTTTCCATGAGGGCCCCATCCCTGCAGCAAAATTCTGCCTGGACATCTAGGTGTTTCCCTACATCCTCTGAAATCTAGGCAGAGGTTCTCAAACCTCAGTTCTTTACTTCTGTGCACCCATCGGCTCAACACCATGTGAAACTGCCAAGGTTTGGGATTTTCACCCTCTGAAGCCACAGTCCAAGATGTACCTTGGCCCCTTTTAGCCATGGCTAGAGTGGCTGGGATGCAAGACATCAAGTCCCTAGGTGGCACAGAGCAGGGGGCCCATGA